AGTTGTAAATTTTATCTTGAAAAAAATAAATCTTCTAAATTTGTTGAGTTTTCTTGCAGAAATCACCTACCCCCCCCCCCCTCCATCCATTTTGTATGATCACAAGGCGTGATTTAAGCTGCTGATATTCTTCTTTAAACGAGTCGGATTTTCAAAATCTATAAGTTGGACTCCCTTTATAGAAGCTTTGAACTGAATTTGCACTGCTTTATGCTGAAATTTATTGTTTATCTATACATTTTAAGAAAAAATGTATAAAAAAGATGTTAAAGCCAAATGTTGCCCTAAAAATTCAGAAAATGTAAAAAATTTCGAATTTTCTATGTACAGGCCTTGTTGCCCATTTAAGAAGCTTAATATGTAAATTATCTAATCAAACACTTCGTCCACCATTTTGAAACACTAGGAAACACCTGGAAATGTCAGGGAAATTGACTTGATTTTCCAAGTGCTGGAAATGTCAGGTAATTTTAAAATTAGGTCAAAAGGGCCAAAGATGACCGGGAATTTTGAAACGGTAGACATGTCAGGGAAATGTCAGGGAAATTTGTATCAGTGTTGAAAAAATAATGTTCCAGAGATTAATGTTTCCAAACTGTTTTGAAACAAACTAACGTCTTGTTTTCAACCTACACCTTGCTCCTTTCTGTCGTATTTAATAAAACAAAAATAGTATATCACGGAGGGATACGAACCACTCACCTGGGACTTGGTTATTCACTAGCGCCATAGGCGTTCTACTGTTCTGGATACAACTGACGAGTCGTATTTAAGTGGAGACAAAAGTGAGGATCATTTTGAATTGACGCTCGGTATAAATATATAATACTTTTGTTCTTTCATATCGGTAGCTCGTTGGCCTAATGGTTAGCGTGCCTGGCTTCCATAGTCTAGGTTAGTTGATCGAGACCCGTTCATGTCGAACTTTTTGATTTGCTTGTTGTCAAGATATAATAAGTAGGGCAAAATCCAGAAAAAGTAGATCAAAAATACTCCAATGGAGTATAAAATTGTCACCAGGATTCCGGAATGAGACGAATGTTAACTCGTGAAATCTCGGTAGATAAGGTAGGTCACAAAATCCGGATTAATCCGAACAAGGTTCGGGAATTTCCGTCATAAGAAGTAGGTCAAAAATACTCCAATGGAGTATAAAATTGTCACCAGGATTCCGAAATACGACGAATCGAATCGGCAAACTTCGGTACAATAATGAAGTGCATAAAAATCGTGAAACAGGTGTCAGGGGCTTTCCCTCTTCTTTCCATAAATGGTTCTAAAAGCCTTATATGGATCTATCACGTGACATTCAAAATGACGTTCCTATATGGTTCTATGGGCCTTATATGGATCTTTCGAACACGTGACCAAATCAAAATCAAAATCAAAATTTTACCTTGACCATTGGATGGGATTTCATATAAAATATCAAAGAAAACATATTCTCGTGATCCTTAAATCACTTAAATTCGATCATTTTATCTTCACCCCTTGATGGAATTTTATGAAAGAAGTTATGAAAACACATCATCATGTAAGGGTTTTCACCTAAATTAGCTCGTTTTATCTTGACCCATCAATTGAATTTCATTGAAAAATGTTTCATGAAAAATATCATGTTATGATTTGTATTTAAATAAGACCGTTTCATTTAAATACTTGCTGGATAATATTTCATTAAAAACGCACTTTAAAAATATTTCAGGATTTGCCTTAATTTATCAATGTAATGTAAGTATTAGATTGACTCTCAAATAGGGTTCTATTTTAACTTTTTTTATTGAAATTAATACTAGGCAGGACTCACTCTCTAAATAGCTAATAAAAATTCAACCCTCGGATGTGATTTCGTTGAAAAAAAAATATGACAAGTCCAGAATCAAATGATTTGTCCAGAACCTCTTAAGATCCTGTTATATGTACTTTTTGTCACCTTTTCTCTTTTTAAATGTTGACCCGAGATAAGCCTGAGGTCAATAAGATTCACTCATTTGACAGTACATTGTAAATCAGCCATAGCTTACTTTGGTTGTATATTGTAATCTAAAATGTATTTCTGTTTGAACTTATAAATCATAATATTTGCTTTTTCAAATGCTTATTTCTCACATCTTTTTTAACTTTCTAGTTCCAAGTAGCTGTTTTCCGGCGCCATATTGAGAATAATTCGGATTAAAATCAGAAATGTAAACATTTAGAGGAATCTAAAAGATATAGCAAATGATTAGGGTAGCCATTTTGGATGTTGACTATACTAGTGCTGCAAATGTACAAAGTGAATTAAGAATATAACTATACAATTAAATGATAACTTGAGGGAGATTAGTAACCTGCCACAAATGTCAAGATAAGGCTGTCCCAAGGTTTAGAAAGAGAATTATCCCCAGTTCATTTGAAATTATGAATTATTGACTTCAGGATATCATCAAGTGGATGATATCCACATGCTAAATCATTGGAGCCAAACAAAATAATAAAAACCGCCTTTTCGACCGCCTTTTGAAAATCAAAGGTTAAGGTCAAAATTGTCCTTAACAATATTCTTTTTCAAATTTTCACATTTTAAATTTTGTAAATGATGATTTTGTAGTGTATTTAGTGACTCCTCACTAAATACCATATTATATGTCATAATGGTTATGAATGAGCTGGGACGGATCCTTTATAAACAGGAGCACAATCCAATACAACCTGAAGAACGTTTCTATATGAACAAATCTTATTACACGATGTGAAAATAATATCGTATATATGTGCTAAAACATATACAGGGTGTCAAATAAGTCCCGCCCCCCCCTGCTACAGCTAAAACCTTAATAGATGGTACCTAGTGTGATACACCATTGGAAAGATCCTCCAAAGATATGTTAACTCACCAACTCTCAAGTATTTTGGATGAAATTCACCTATATTTTCATGATGTCCTTTATAGTAAGTGTGCCCTCCTTAAGCAGCTTTTATTGCGTCAAAATGAGAAGGATATGACCTCAGAAATATGTCAAAAAGTTAATCTTTTTCGCACATCACTTGTTCCAAAATGGTTTTCACCATTTCTCCTAGCACCTCTATTTTCTACACATCTAACACTATCCAGAAATTGGTTAAAATCATTGCCATATACATATGTAGTCATCTTTAGGTCCGTTGACTTTTCTTATACCCAATTCTTAAAATCCTGCCATATACGCCAAATTGCCTTGTTTCTAAGCTTATGGTCACCTCAATTGATACAATGTAAAACTTTGTGAGACTGATTGACATATGTCAGATATATGCCAATCAACGTAACTTTGGAAGACCCTTCCTATGATATATTATACTTGGTACCATATATCTTGGTTTAGGCTGTAGAGGGGGGGGGACGGGACTTATTTGACACCCTGTATATGAGCAACGGTGTACGTACTTTGTAGCCAGGGCAGAAGAAGCGACACAAGAAGTTATCCCTATCCTTTTTCCTGATAAAAACCTTCAATCCTCAATAATCTTTCATAAAATGTTCATCAAATAAACTCTATTTAGCATTTGTAACATGCTAAGTATTTTGTTTCACTCATAATCAATTTTCATTATAATTACACAAATATAACTAATATAAATTGCATTTCGTCTATTTGTGACTACTAAGTAAAGTGTGCTCACTTGTTAATGAATCCTTTTTGCTGGATGCTTCGGCTACCGTATAACCCTTGTACGTAACTTCAGTCCAAACTGAATACCGCACACCTGCATTCAATCCTATTAGATTAACATTTTCATTGTTATTAGTAACGTCCACTGATTGTGCTCCTGTGCCAAATTCCTGATACCATACTATTAATCTCTGGTGGTTGATTTTTGGCTCTTCCCACACAACTACCATGGACGTTTCCATTACGTCGATAATATTAAAGTTTGTTATTGGACCAGGACCTAAAATAGAATTAAGATATGTTCAAGTCAACCTTTCAAATATAATGGTTCTCATGGCATAGCTTTGATTTAGATTTAATTTTCGTTATATACATATACAAATTGATAAATTTTAAGAGATGTGTACGCATGGGACAGCCATGTCATACACTCCCCTCCATAAGTTTGGCAACCTTTTTCCCCCATTGAACTACGTGTTAAAGCCTCTTTACCTTTGAATTTTTATTTACTTAACCTGCGATGAAAATACTTATACTATTGATGGAAACGTAATTTGACTTAAATTCCAATACCTTCAAATTTTCTCAATTTTTTTCCTCAATTATAATAGGTCGAAAATTGATGATGAATTTGATGAATTTTTAAAAATCGACATTCCCATGTTAACCAATGGGAAATGGTAGGTTCGCCGCAAGTCATATGACAGAATATCCATCCATCCGAGTCCTTGCAAAAAATACGAGTTAGGCAGGTAATTGAATTTGCTAACTTTATTTAACAAAAAATTGATATGTTTCTTCAGGTTCGACAAAGTTATAGGGCTTTAAAGTCAAAATTGTTTTTCAAAAAACCTCTCCCATTGAAATAACACAGGAGGCGAAAAATAATTTCCAAAAATAACTTTGAAGCGCTGTAACTTTAATATTCATCAAATAAACTAAACACTTAGTGTTCAAAAAAGTTAGACAATTCAATTTTCTATATAAAAATATTTTTTGCTGAATCTTTTACTGAAAAGATATCCTGATTTCTGATTTGCCCCAAACCCTCCATTTCCCATTGGATTACATGAGATTGACGATATTCAAAAATTCATCAAATTTATCATCAATTTTCGACCTATTGTAATTGAGGAAAAAATTGAGAAAATTTGGAGGTATTGGAAATAAAGTCAAGTTACGTTTCCATCAATATCATAAGTTATTTCATCGCCGGTTAAGTAAATAAAAATTCAAAGGTAAAGAGGCTTTAACACGTAGTTCAATGGGGGAAAAAGGTTGCCAAACTTATGGAGGGGAGTGTAAATATAGTTTTTCATTTTGAATATGCATTAAACTGATACGTACCAGTTGTCCAAATTGGTGTTGAATTCGTGCAGCTGAAACTGGTTTGGTCTCCTCCGTCAAATCGTATTACAGAGTACACACAGAATGTATAATCTGTATATGTGGACAAATTAAAGATGGTATGTTCCGTGAACAGACCAACCTCGCTAGAAAATATCACTTCTTCCACCATGGAGTTGTGCTCATATAATGCTCTATAATGGGTCGCGCCATTAACGTTTATGATGGTCAGTCTAATCGAAGTTGATAAAGGACCAGCTCTTGCACTAACTGCAGGCGGTTTCTCTGGAACTGAAATATGTATGTGTGAAATGTCAAATAGGGACGACTAAAGGGTAACATAAAATTACACGTCAAGAAAGGAAACATTTTGTAGAATAAGGAAAACAAAACCTCGATATCCCGAACAGTAACATAAAGAAGGAAAATATATTTACTACCTCTAAGTCTTCCAAGCTGTTTATGTTTTATAGTATTTTGTTTATTTTGGAGTAATGTAAAATGTATACATGGGGTATGAGATATTGGACATCGTCTTCTTAACATCCTATGATTAAAGGCAGAATCAGATCTAGCAAGATACTGTTGGGTATTCTTGACAAAAATTGTTTCAATTTTACAATATTTTGGCGTCATAGTTGTCATGTCTATTTTCTAAAAATCCCAAAAGTGAGAACTGTTTGAGAAAAAACTAATTTTCATATTATATTTTTGAGAATTTACACATTTCCTCCCATTTTGGCACTTTGAATCCTAAATAACTTAACCTACTTGTAACATATTGTAGATCTTTTGGGAATAATAGTATTGAGAAATGGAAATCTTTCTACCACAGATGAACACGATTGGTTGATTATTCTAAAGATAAGAAGTATTCATACAGACCTTTTAAACAGCCGTTATTTTATTGTGGATTTGATAACAAGATGCTTTATTGTGTTTTCTTATACCTACCAGTTTGAGATGACCCGATATCGATCTAGAATTCGAAGAGAATAAACGAACATAAATTATAAATAAGAAAATTGTGATACATGTAGTCGGTGTGAATACATTTAATAACTACTCTCTAAATTCAACGATATTGGATGTAAGAACATACAGTGGAATGCGGAAATATATTGTGTATTAACATTTGAATATTAAAACGTAACTTGTGGCATGCAAAATAGATTGTTGTCCTTACCTGTACACTGATGACTGCACTTGTGACAACAAACCAAAGGATGTAGTTGTTCGGCTTAACGAAAGTATTGATGACCATGTTGTTCAATTACACTCAAGATACATAAACGATTTCAGAAATACCAGATTTTTATTTATAAGCAGATCTTATGTTAACCATTTAAATGTATTACTGAACTTTGAAGTTAAAAAAGTGGTATCGAACAGTAATGCCTTATAATCGAGATACGTGATCCAATACGTCGTACCTTGATAAAAATATTTACAAACAAAATTGATTTTTGAGATATATGGTTGCCAATAAAGTAATGAGATAAAGATAAGTATATCTTTCGAAGATCAGCTTTGCCGATGGTATAATATCTAAAAGGTGGCTTTTGCATAGATATTGTATATTTGATTAAAGATTAACAATTTGATAATCAATCTGATGATGTATCTCGTAAACATTATCATATTTTACTTATTATTCCAAGGAAAACAAACATTTCGAATATGTATTAACATCAATCAAAATCAAGAATATTCATCTGTGATTGGACTTTAGGCTGAGATACTAGGAATGTTTTCTTTTGACTTGGAATTTATTATTTTGCTTTCAAAACTTTCAAAATAGAACATGGTCATACTGATGACTGGGGGGGGGGGAGTTAGTGGTAATGATTTACAGTAGAAGATACCTGATGCATATATACATACACACACCGCGTATTAATTATTAACAAAACAAACTGTAGTGGTATGTGAATTATTATTTTATATTTAAGCAAATAATTGTCATGCAACATCTAATCATGTTTTTGTACAAGTAATCATATATGTTTAAAATTTCATAATTGTGTAACAGAGCGAATATCCTCTAATTAATGAGCTATCAACAGATGGGGCTGGACATATAGTGATCTTTGTAAAATTTACAATTGAGGGTGCATAGTACTTTGAATTCGCCATTGATCCACATGTTCTCTTATGACCTCCATACTATTATATGGTACCACGTACATAGGTGTATCCCCATCATCGAATACATCGTGAAAGATGAGTTACAGAAATCGAATTATCATAATTCAGTTGGTATTTTCATCAAATTTTAATTGGTAACAAATATTTATAATTAAGCATTTAGGTTTACAAAACTACGATGACTCACACGGGCCACCACCGGAATCATGTCTTAATATATCAAAAAGCTTACATGGACTGATGTTCTTGTATCTGTTCTTTAGTTTCACTCCAGGCTTCAGAGCTTCTTTTATAGGATGCGACGGACTGTTTGCCTCTATTTCCTATATAACATAGAAACATAGCACGACAGACATGACATACATTGTATGTGTTCATTTTTATTGCGAGGCATTGTACGAGTTTTGACTGTTTTAAATTATCCATAGATAAATAATAAGAACATGAATATTGCACTTTCATAGAGAAGTTGAAATAAGAAGGAATGTAGATCTTGACACTGTATTGTATTTTACACTGTATTAAAATATTGTAATCACCTTAAACTCTTTCTTGACTAGCGCATTGTTATCTCTCCTGTTCCTCAAGGTATTAGCAAAAATGCAGAATATTTAGCTTTAAAAAAGCTTAACTTGTTGAACTACACAAAAGTCAGTGTCAATGTTTTAGTCCCCAAATATACTGCATGATGAAAATTCTGCACAAAATAGTAAATATCATATAAAAATAACAAGGCATTAAGATGACACAATACTACTACTTTTAAAGTCAAATTTGAACTTCTAAGAACTTGTAGATGATTTTTTTAAAAATGGTCAATTTGAAGCAAGTTGAAACAACACCTTGTAGTCCTATTTTGACAATGAAACGTTCATTGAAGGTCAAATCTTAAATCATAAGTTAGATTTGAACTTCTGAGAATTTCCCTATGATTTTGAAAAAATGGTCAATTTGAAGCAAGTTGAAACGAGACATTTTTCTCCTTGAAAAGGTCATTGAAGGTCAAATATTTTTGGACCTTGATTATGTCATTGAAGGTCAAATCTATAGTCATATTTTGAACTTTTGAGAACTTGTAGATGATTTTGAAAAAATGCTGGTCAATTTGAAGCAAATTGATAAGACATTTGTGAACTATTAGGACCTTGAGAAGGTCATTGAAGGTCAAATTTTAAATCTAAAGTCAGATTTGACTTTCTGAGAACTTGTAGATGATTTTAGAAAAAACTAAAGTCAGTCTAAACAGTATTTGTTAAGTTATTGGAAGAATTTGTTACAGACGCTAACCGCCGTATTTTGGTATTTTGGTTTTATAATTGAATGTTTTAACACGGTATTAAAACAACGTTTGAAAACATCGTA